AAGTGAGAATGAATAGGCTTGAATTTTGCATTTTCCCTTTTGGCAATCCAAAGTTAACCAACTGAGGATTTTCCAAGCCTATAATGAGTGAGAGGCACATTTTATTTTAGTTTTTATGGACCAAGCACACAGCACAGTATCCTTCACACTAACAGTCATCTTTAAATGATTGTGGGTGCCTCTGTATGCCGCTTAAAATGCAACAGCTAGCGAATTTGCACTCCTGTAGCAATTTTACCCTTTCAATTTGCATTTGTAAAACAAACAGATGCTGCAGACCCATGCATAGGTCTAATTCGATTTAAATGGAAAAAAAACTGTTCAGATTTTCTTATTTTCTGGAAAAGTTACAGTACATTAAGAAAAGTGAATATTCACTCTTCATCAAGTTTTCTGACTCTTTTTGATATCAGAATAAAGTACAGAGTGATTTTGTGGACTATCGTCAACATTTAAATTAAAGACAAATCACTTATTTTGCTGAAGGCACAATCTGAATATTCTTTAAAATGAAGTGATAAAACTGTGATTTCAACTACTACACATGCATTTACGAACAAGTATGCAAGGGTAATGATTGATAGTTACTTTTTTAAACAGTTAAGAGAAAACTATGGATAATTATGGCTTTTAATGTGCAATATGATAAGAAAATGAACATTAAGTAAGGGCTATTTCATCGGATTCCTGATAAGATAAAACGATTACTGATAAAAGATCATTTTTCTTACAGTGTTACTGGCACAAGCACATCAGTTTAAGGAAACAACAAACATTAAATACGCTTTACTGAAAAGCTAAATAATGTAATTCTAATAATTAAATGTAAATGACCTTTGCATATTTTCCCTTTAATAACCTGTCTAACATATTAGCTATTGTATATTGCTGAAACACAAAGGACGTTATCATGGGTTTATTCCAGTTTGCAAACTTTGAGTCATGAACAATGAGCTCACAGCAGGAAATCCCATGTATTTGAATGGCACATTCCTGCATTGTCAGAATGAAAAAACATATATGCAAGCTAATTTACTAACCTATCCACTGTATTCATGAATGCTTGTTCACATTTTTCAAGGATACAGTATGTATCATTTCCAGGTGCTGCACCAAACATTAAATGAAATCATCCAAACATGCTATATCTTCACCTATATCCTAATAGATGTGGTAAAACAAAACAAAAATCTCTACTGGTGTATTGTAAAAAACAAATACTACACTGGCATTATTCAAGTATAGCTTTTACTATTTTAGATATACCTCTGAAAACACTGTACCCAAAGTTAAATATCAAAGTACATGGTCACTGAGTCATGCAAGAGACACAGAAGGAAAGCATTTACAATAACACACAATAATTTGCAAATGTTTCTTTGTGATAATTACATCAGTATTTTGTAATGGAAAATAGGGGTTCAAGCACAACGTTAATGGTAGATTCACATATATGGCAAACATCTGTATACACACAGCAGGATCAACATTTCAGGATAGCAGGTCCATGACCCGAGGTTAAAACCTCACCTGAGATTTTTATCAGGACTGCAAGCCCAGTGTGGAACAGAGCTCCCTGGCACTCTGACATCTAATCCAGAAATCATGTGAAATACTACCTTGATTTGTATGTATAATTAAAGATAAATATGGGTCAAATTTGAAGCACTAAAAAAACACTCTTGATTGCCAACAGATACCCTCAGGGCTTTACAAAGGTAATAAAAGACCGCTTTGTTCAGCAAACACATAGGCTGCACAATATAAAAGATGTAAAACCAGTCCTAAAGCTAGTAGAAACAATTAATATCATTACATGGGAATAGGGGGTATTCTTACATCAAATTGTTTTATAGGAGTAGGCTTAGGGGTGTAAAGGAACATAGATCAAAAACAGAACTTACTTATCTCTCTACCTGAACCTTAGCCTTTGTCACAAAGAGACTTTAGAAAGATGTTACTGCCTTGAATCCATCAGATCTGTTTTCAAGTACACAAGTTCCTTTAAAAAGAAGAAAACAAAGTCCAAGGATTTTCTCTTTAATCATCAGAATCATAGCTCAACATTCATCTGCATTTCAGGCACTGGTACTTCTTAAGTATATTGACATGTTACTTACTATAATGCCTGATTAATCTCACTTGGGTCCCTCAAGCCTTCTTCCATTTCTGTACACAATACTTCTGCATTTTATAATACCCGATTGTAAAACTAGAGAGAGGGATCTTTGAAGCTTTGATCTGATCAAAGGGATGGTATTTCCAAATGGATGATCTTCCTTTTGGCCCAGAAACAAAACAGACATTCTTCAGTTTTCTGCAAAAACGTTGAAACACTGAGTCTGTATTCATAACACAATGTTTAAATTTAAGGTATTAGAAACACTTCTGTTAAAAGGTTTAATACACACAACTCTCAACAATTCAACTACAAAAATCTAAAGCAAAAGGAATTAAAATCCTTTACAATGTTCCATGAAAATCGGATTCTTTCCATGTTTAAATAGAATTCCAGATCTTCAAAGAAGGATGCATATATTTTATTCATTCAAGCTATTTCATTGGCACAGTCCATTCCAATAACATATAATAATAAATCCCCTGCCATTTATCATTAAAGCTTTCAGGCTATGCTACTGTACATTATATATAGAGAGGCACGGCTCTGGCCTTTCTACATATATTCTAGAAGAACTGGAGCCAGAGTAAAGGAACAGTAAACAGATTTCAATCCCAGTTTGTAAGGATCCCATAGCAGCATCCTTATAGTATAGCTAGGTAAAAAGAGTCCAGGCTCTATCATCCAAGTGACACACACCCTGACATTCTAACTTCATTATATAATTCTCCTCATCCATACAGACAGCAACTGCTCAACCACTAACTGGACCACAGAGAGCTTCAACACTGCAACCTTCACCAAGAACAGAGAGACTGTAACAAGAATCATGTTAATCCCATGCCAGGAAACAGTACAAGCGACAATAATGATACTCCTGGAGAATCTCTGGATCAAGTGGATTGCATTCTACTTGACCTTAATGACTTAATTAAATCAATAATTGACTTTCATTGGTCTTAATTACAACTCTTCCAAGACTGTGTGATCCTTATAAAACCTGCCGGGCTGTTACTCTCCAGGCCTGATCAGTGACTGTGCTATGGCCAACAACATCCCAAATAGTGAGATTGCTGCCAGTGGACACATCTGTAAAGAATGCCTTGGAAAGTAGATCTGTATCCATGGGTTTATACAAAGGAGCAAATTGAACCTAACCTGGATCATTAGATCAAAGCAGACAAGGCTATTGTAACTGAAAGAATGCAAGCTCTATCAGCACATTGGCTGACACAGATATATATTACTCAGCTGCTAAAGGGTTCATTCCCTTTGTGCAGCTCCCTTTCCCCCCAATCTCTTTAGAACTTTAAGACCAAAAGGAAATGATAAAGTCATCCTGGATCTCAGAAACCTAAGGATAAGTCATGTAAAAAAGAAACACAATGTTATGGAACCCTTTGGTGGTCCTGCAAATTTGGTCATCATACTTTGCTCCACGTTCTCTGAAGTAATTGGCCTCTCATCAAAAGAAGTACAGTTTATCACATATATTCCAGTACAGAGTGAGTACTGGCTATAGCCTTTATTGATATGTTTTCATTGACTTAAGGTCTAGGAGAGGATTCTACTGGAAAGTAACTATCATGCATTACGGAGATCTTTTTCAAGGAGTATAGCAGATTATAGGGGTGTGTACAAGCATCAAGGCTTTGAATTCCAATTTTGAATTAAGAGAATCGAACACCAACAGAAGACCCTCATTAGTCTATTTTGATTTATTTGTCATGATGACCAAAACGTGGTTGAAGCTTCAAATGGTGCATTAACAGACTTATGTGGATTCTGTCATAATAATAACTGTAATATTAATATATGCCTTACAATTACATAACACTTTTCTGGAATCTCCACTCAAAACACTTTACAGGTAATGGGGATTCCCCCTCTACCACCAATGATGATGCTACGCATTATATGGGACCTTTGATATGTGAATTCAGTGCACTGGCAATACTCCTAAAAATACAGCAATCTATCATACAATATCATATTGATATCATATATCATATTAAATATTTTTTAGCACTTCATTATTAAGCAATTACAATGCAATGCTATGTCACAAAAGGCAGACCTTATATCTGACCCTCATTGTCCTTTCAACAGATGTGTGAACAGACAGATGTGACCTATTCTATAAGCATATAATATATCATATAAGCAGGATCCATACCACTTTGCCTATTAATACTGGTCCATTTTTTCAAGCCTAATTAATTAAAACCTACTAGAAATATATTTTTCAAACCATCGATTATTAACCACAACCTTACTGGAAGCTTCAACAGGCAAACTGCTCATTTAAACATCAACTCTCCCTACTTTCCACTGTTTCTTTGACTCGATTAATGCAAAGAACAGAGAAATGCATGTATAAAACAAAGTCGTATATGACACAGAAAAAAAACTCACATTAATGCTCAGATACGGTTAACACAGATACGTCTCATTAGAAACTATAAAACCTTCACAATATCGAATGTATTGTACAGTAATGGTCGAGGTCCTGTCCAAAGTCAGTAACTGCGCGGTGTGAATATTTACGCGGTTTAAATTGGACTTGAATAATGTCATTTTTAATCGATTAAATTTGAGCTAGACAGACATATATTTAAGGACAACATCGTGACGTTTCCAAACACATCATAACAGAATTGCACGAAAGTTAAATATGCATCATCGGTTACAATTCAGAAGGTTAGAAATTAAAGGGACAGCAAGTGCTAGCCCCTGCAAAGCCTGTCCTAATGCACAACAATGTATCTGATAGAGTATCACGTCGCAGGCAGAGGTTAGTATCTCCGACAACTGAACTCTTAACAAACGAGTAAAAGCAATGAGAGTTAGGTCAGTGCCGTTGCTGCTTTTTTATACTTACGATGTGTGGCTTTCAGCTGCGGCGAATCCCAGTAATGAATGAATTCATATGAGATTTCCACATCCACGACTTGCACGCACTTCACGATTAATTCCTCGAGTTCCTGACTACTGCTTGGTAATTTTGTGTACGACTGTACTTTATGTTGGTTTTTTTTTTCCTCACTACCCCTTCTCTCACCGTTTTCCCTCCCCCACGCTTCTCAGTGACCACTGAATAAGAAAAGAGGCTTGCTAACTGCCTCACACACACATGAATCTCCAGTGCCTGCCCACAGACTGACGTCGAGTCCTCAACTCGCAGTCACAACTCTTTCTCTCTCTCCTCTGTCCCTTCCCCCATTGCGCTCGTCTGTCAAAAACGGGAAGAGTGACCCCCAAAGGGAAGGCAAAGGACTGGTGGGGTTGGAGGGAGCAGGGTGTCCGAGGATCAGCTCACAAAAAATACCTTGAAACATCGAAACGTGGGTCGCTTTCAGTCTAGTGCAATTCTAATTTAACACGTTTGTACTGTTGTCTCACAGCTTTTGGATTCTGTATGTTTGGATTTTGTGAGCTTCAAAGGACAGTCTGGTCAGGGTAATTGGTGTCTCTAAATCGAGTGTCCCTGTCTGCTTGTGTGTCCTTTGATGAACTGTCGTTCCTTACAGGATGTAATCATGCCTTGCACCCTGTTCCTGCAACTGGGTTATCCTCCTGCTCGATGTCATAGGATGAATATGCTGGATTGACACATATGTGATAGAATAGTTAGAAATGCATTATGCATTTTTTGCGAAATGTAGCTAAAGATAACGAATTAGGATGCCTAACAAGGGTAAAAAGAGTGCATTAGCAATATAGTAATATCATCAATTTCCCTACAGGATCAATAAAGTCTTATCTATCTAATATGAGTTGAGGATTCTAACTTTTTTTGGAGGCCCAAGTTCTACAGTATTGCATTGTCCACATCTTATTGTTGTTGTAACAGGGTGTTTTAGCCGTGTCCTTTGTAAGCCAGAGTTTCAGAAAATCGACAGGTGGGATGAACAAAAGGCAATGAATTTGCATAATAAGATAAAATAGTCTATCACAGCACATGAACTCTGCCTTGTTTTACAAAGTGCATTTTGTCGCTACTAGCTTTGCATTCAAGATATTGCAAAGAGGGATCTGCTGTTTAAGGAAAGGAAAACCACTAATTAATGTTACTTCATGTTAGGGTACCATGTTTCTGTCACACTTTTAAAAAATGTAACGCCTGTCCAACTGCAGTAACTGCATTTGATAAGAATGCAGACAAGCTATTAAAGACATTTAACACTTGGCTGCTTCATGAGGAGCTTCACCTAATAAATGTGTTATACATCTTTCATATGGCACAAAGAGAGGAAGATTGGCTAGCTTTGATCATTGTAACGCTTTTCCATTTGACAGTACTTACACATGTTGAAGTCTGCATCACAATCTGATGAAATTGAAAATGCTTTTCTTTGTGCATGTTTACAAGCCCTATTTCCCACATGCACGCCACAAGTTTGTGATATCAGAGTGATCATAAGGTTAGAAAGGTTTATGATGTTTTCTAGAATTTCTGGCAAACTCTTTGGAAGTATCTCGCTCCTTTACCTCTATTCTCTAAATCACACTATATAATATTATTGCGTGACTGTCTTAACTGGGAAGAAGGTACATCACTTCTAATAAAATTGTGTGACAGTGTACATCGGACATTGTATGTTTGTCAGAAACTGTTCAGCTGTAGTTACATTATGCTGTATAGTGTGAAAAGAACCATATTTGTTTTACTTTTTTAAATTAGAATAATGTTAGAGCACGGGAACATGTCAAAAAACACCAGCCTTGCAGACATTTTTTACTCAAGGATATATGGGTGACAAAACACACACTTTGAAAAAAGAGGCATGTCTCTGTGACTGCCTTTGTTCTGCCTCTGAAGCCACAACAGCTTGTTGATGTCACTTATAGCAGCCTGGGTTACTGTTTGAAACAGGAATGAAGTAAATCTGCTCTGCTCAGCTCGAAGAGGAACACAGTGGCCTTTTAAACACAATGAAGTGTTTAGCTTTTGCATATCTTTGGAAGGCAAAAAAAGTATACAGATTATACAGTATTTTTACAGTTTATTTTTACCTTATTTGTTATGTCGTGATTAAGTATATTATTAATTAATGGTAATGTTCTGTTTATTGTAGTAAGCAATGGCATAGTTTTCATGACACAGATCACTAAGAAAATAACCTCTTAAAAGACAATGTTTTTGACATTATTTTAAAAATACAAGAACCCTTAATCTGAATCTTCCTATAAATCCTGGCAGAAGTTTTAACATTTAGAAGATATTCTACATCTAACCACTGAACCCGGTATGTAATCTCTGAAAACCACAAGATAATCAAATCGCTTATCTTCCTTTTGAGATGTACCTTAATTTCTTATTTGCCCAGAGAAGAGAAATTAAGTTGTGTGACCCTTTTTATGTGCAATGGATTCTAAAATAGTGACACTCACTTTCTCTTCAGCCACTAGCCACTAGATTTAAAGTATTAATTGAAAATAACCTGATGAGGTGAAAAGCAAACTTAATCCATTATCAAAAAGTTGCTTCCTTGTAAAGATCACAGTAACCTAATACCTGTTCCAGAGTAAAAGAGCACAAGGTAGGACTAAAGTACACCCTGATGAGGATGCACACAGAGACAATTTTTGACACCAGCTAACCCAACCAGCACGTCTTTGCATTGTGGGGGAAGGGGGGAGTTAACCATATTACCTGGAGAAAACCCATATTTAAATGTGGATACATGCAAACTCCACACAAAAGGTGTTTCTATCTATAATTGAACCCAGGACCGAAGAGCTATAATACAGTGATTCTATTCACCATACTGCCTGCATAACTGCCCCCCCCCCAAAAAAAAAAAAACAGGGCCTATAATAATGATTTACCTAAGAAAAGGCACCTAATAAAAATAATACAATTCCTTTCATCACAGAGAAAAGCAGTAAGGAAAATAAAATATTCCATCAAAAGTTAAGTAAGATATTTCATAGTCCAGACTTACTTTACCATTATACATCTGTAGTGTTCACTGAATAGATTTAACATTTAGAATACATAGATGTGATCTTCTGTCTTCCTCTTTTAGCAGTGTGTTTTAGTTATTTCAGACTGCCATGGCAAAACCCCACAGAACTGAATGAAAAATACAGGCATATCATGTAACACTACGAGAAAATGTGCACAGAGCCTGAGCTGATCCCTTGACAAGGCTGAGATAAGGAAGCTCCGTGGCTCCAGTGCTGTTTGTTTATTGTGAATGGAGGGGAGCAACAGTGCTGGCTGTCTGTTCTAGTCAACTTTATTTTGACTGCAGTCTAACAAATTCACTTAACCCCGAGAAACTTCCATCTAATCACAGCTGATTCAAATCCCATCTACGCTTTGCTTTGTCAAGAAACCCATCATTGTGCAAAAGACCCTTTAATTTCCCTTTGAGAGCATTTGAGTGGCAATAATAATGTAGTACAACATTGGTTGGAGTAAATATTCTTTTTCTATGATTCTAATATCCATGTACTTTACTGTTCGTAAGGATAAGCCTCTTTGAGCTTTTTTTGTTTCTGAAGAGTCAAAACATATTCAAGGACATGCAGTATCTGCTGAAGTATGGGACATTTTAACTCACATACCACTCAGAGGGAGTTAAGAGCACTATGACATCAACCCCTTTCATCTCCTTTAAGTCTCTATTGAGTCTGTGACTGTGGTATCCTTGATGAGAGAAATAATTTCTCTCTAAATACAAATTATGAAGTGTGGGAAATGAAAATTCCTTTTTTTTCCCTTTGGTATTGAAGGGAAAATGTAATTTGTATGTTAGGAAAACAATACCAGAAAGAAAAAGAAAGCAAAAATGTTAAGCACATGCAGTCTGTAGACCTTGTGGTTTACTATTGGAAACCACACTCTGTTTACTATTGGATCACAGAGTGATCAGTAGTGGTAAGGGAGTTAAAATGAACTAACTAAAATTAATTTTATAATTCATGGACTATGGTACTTTTAATGCATTGAAGTTTCTACTGAATGTGGTTACCTGCATGACCAAATTAAACCCGTCTTTGTGATAAAATAGTGCTTTTCACAATCTCAGTAATTTGGGTAAAAAAGTCATGCTTGAAAGGGACCTTCTTCTACTTCTGACATCATATAAGACTGGTGAGTCTTTTAAACCTCTTATGCATGCCAGTAAATAAAACATATTAACAGCGTTAACATTAAATTGTCAAATCCCCGTTATTATCTAATATCTCTAGCAGTAAATATTCCCATTGAGTGCAGTTTTAGTCAATTTATAACTGGAAATGCCGAATTGGAAACACATGATAGAAAATCAATAACTACTTTCAAAATTCAAAAAAGGAAGAAGCAAACAAGGAAAGAGGACATCATAATAAAAACGGGATGAGGAACTAAAGCTTTAGTCAAGGGAAGTTTGTGTCCTTATTTGAAAAAATTCATCTTCAACTATATACATAAAATTCTTGAAGAATATCTGTGATCACTTAAGCTATTATCTGTGTTTAAAGGCACAAACAGTAATCACTACTCATGTTTTTTAACAACACACAAATAAATCACGTACAAACCTATAGAGTGAAATTTTAAATTTTAGGTACCTTTGCCTTTTATACACAAGCTGGCCAACATTATAGCAATGTTACAGAGTTCTCAATTGTTCAAGGCTCTGGTTTCATTTGAAAAAGAGCTGCAGGACAAGGGCTGAAGACTGAGTTCTTCACATTCCAAGCTGTGCTGGTCAATCTAAAAGAAAGATGTTGCTAATCTGTTTTTACAAGCAATATCAAGAAGACAGCAGAAGTGTCGGGTTTGAAATTCCAGTTTAAGAGCAGCGCCAGTATTAGTGTAAAACTATATGGATGGTCAAACCTAAAAAAATACATATCTAATTCTTCTATTCCAGCTGAGTAAACAGTTAAGATTCAGATTGGGTCTTCACAGAATGAGAGTTGGGCATATTTTGAGTCTGATATTTACATTAGGCCTTGGACATATCTATTGTTCATCTAGAAAGCATGTGTTCCTCCTACCGAACCTGGGAAATACTGGCACATAAACATGAATCAAAATGTTTTACATGTTTTATTTACAAGAAGAAATCCTGTCAGGTGTTGTTTAGCTTTGCAATTCCAATGAGTTCATATTTCTTTTTTGCAAAAGAAACAATTACATCCCCATTGTTTT